TTAAAAGGACATTTTTTAACTCATTTACTCAGAAACTAAACATGTCCTGGACATGTGTAAGTATTATACGTAATTATAAAAAACCAACAGTAACATTCATGAAAAGGCATTAAATTTACACTTTAAACGTAATTATATAAAATATGCAGTACTTATATTTGCCATAAAAAAAGAACAAAATACCTCGTAAATTACTACTTATGTCCTAACATTTAGTTGAATACTCAAATCGGTGGTGGCCTAGTGGTTAAAAGGCCCTCCTCTCATGCGCGGGTTCGATCCTGGCCCTGGCAAGTACCAATGTGATTTGTCCGAGTCATATGTACTTTCTAAGACTATTTAGACATCACTGATTAATGCATTCCCAAAGAGAGTTGATGTCAGGCAGGCGACCGGTCGTAAAAAAACAATTAGCAAAAACTATTCACAACATGTCAGGCAGACCTTGGCTAAATCTCGGAAAATTGCCAGGCAGAAAAAGAAGACTCAGTAGTTTTAAAGTTTAAACAAATAGTATTAACCCAATCAACATTTTCATTTATCCTTTTTAAATAAATGATGTGTTCAGTTCTGGTGGTAGCAAAACGGAATTTATATGTTAATGAATGTCAAATTATTTATAATTTTATACAAACAAATGAATCTGAATACCGTTGATGACACTTTTGTTTTGTTCTTATTATAATTTTACTTGTTTTATATGTTATTGCGTTCTGTATGACAATTGGTAGAAAATATATTTTTGAGAGTTAATATACATATTTATTAAGATTGTATAGTTAATAATTTTAATTTTATTTATGTGATTTATATTTTGTAGAGTCTCTATAGCTGGGGTATAAGGGTGATAGGTGTTTTCGAATTATGTATACCACTTGCCGACTGTTAATGTAGTATATTCAAGTTGTTTGTTTGTAATATCATCGCTTATAGGTCAATCTACAATATTATGTTCTTTAGTTCGACCTAACAAGATGTCCAAGCTTGTTAGGTCGAGATAAAAAATTTCATATACTATAATCTTTAGAATTATTTTTATATCTAATTATAATTAATTATAATACTGAACTGTTGTAATTATGTATGCAACATTAAATATTAACATGTATTTGAAAACTTTAAATACTGGCTTCAGCCATTTTGTAGGTCTTTACTGACGGCAACGCTGAACACTGAAAATCAAGAGCGAAACTCTGCCTCGAACACTTGTAAAGATATATTTATACAAATCACAAATATCCTTCAATACATCTTATTCTGTAATATTATTTTTGTTTATCAAATCCTAAACATCGTGGTATATGGCTGCAGGCGTAAACTAAATAGTATATAATACGTAGACTAAATAACTTAACTTATTTCGCTAATCTTTGTTCATCCGTTAAATTTATCTATATATTTTTTTATATTATGTTTGTTTATTTTCAAATTTAAATAAGCCACTCGAAATAAATAAGATTTTGTCAAATATAAACACTATGCCTTAATGTTTAACAAGAAACTTACTCCTGGTTGATGAAAACATGAAATTTTGTTAAGTCTATATTTTGTACATAATTATAGGAATAATATTTGAACTTAATTTCAAATAAAAGTTACTTCTTAGGATCGTCTAGTATTGGTATTTATTACGACATATTCTTGTTGTTCCAGCAAAATGTTTTTCGATGTAATTAATACTTTTCCAGTTTCACATTAATGAATATAAGCTGACACAAAAACAACGATTATAAATGACGGAATATTTTTTTGGGAATAGTAAAAGTTCTATATATTAATAAAAAGTAAATATTTTACTTCATTGGAAGGAATTTTCAAGTAAGATTATTCTACTCAATCTAAACTAACGATGAATGCTCTAAAATGAATTACTTTGTATCTGAAACTGTCGATGTATGTAAGTCTTAATGAAAAAATTATATTGAACATCTGAAAAGTTTACTTTATTATTATTATGGGATTTTATTCTTTATTTTCTTATTATTAAAGAATTAACATTTGCTTCTTATTTCTACATTTTCAAATATCAGTGACTGGCAGTGAGTTTTATGTTTTATAAATAATATATAATACAAAGAGCTTACTAGAATATTATAATCAGTAGAATGGTTCCAAGTAAAAGTTATTACAGCTCTTATAGTTACGTTGGACATCGTAACAATGGGAATTTAAATTTTTTATGATTTATACTGTTTATTTTATTAATAGCACACGTAATGGTTGAACCCAGTATTATTATTTATTATAACCTTCAATATATATATATATATATATATATATATATATATATATATATATATATATATATATATATATTATGTACATCGATTTAATATTTCCGAGACGGATTTAAAATAGTTTTAACGTTACTATAAATATAAAATAAAGACAATATTATTATTTCTTGTATATATAATTCATTGTTATGAATCAATAATTTTATCCCGGTCATACTCACATCTACCTAAAGTTATTATAATAATCAACATGTACCTAATTATAAAGGAGGGTCTTGTAACAATACGAATATGTTTTTGTGTGGTATATACTCGTATTATTCCATACAATTTAATATTGACGTAACATATTCGTGTTTTCCTCTACCAATACAATGTGTTACATAAATAAAATATATGTCATAGCTCATAATTATAATAAATGTCTAGAAGATAGTGTTCTTTCACCTACTGCTAGATAACTTGACCTACGAGTGGGGTTGGGTATTTAGACTTTAAAAGTTCTTTGATAATTACCTAACTGCAATAATTGATCTGACTGATTGTTCTGAAGTAGAATATTGTTGTACTGTATTATATTCAGTGAAATACATGAAATAGTGTAATTATTGCGAGTACAAAGAACTGTTTAATAATAAGAAAGAGTTGTTTTTTATGTATAATGCTGTTAGCCCTATTGCTTTTACAGCGTCACCGGTAGAGTGGGCCAGTGCCGGGACTGACCCATTACGAAGGGGTCTGAAGGGCTCCTAAGGTACGAACGTTCTAAGGGCTAAAAGTGAGGCTCGGACCAACTAAGAAAGAATAAGATTTTTCATGATAATACATACAACTTACTAAAGCATGTTATAAATTCATTGCATTAGTAATATTAAGGCACTAATTTGCATATATAATTGAAATTATGGATCTAACATATTTAATATGATTTGTATATTTTAATTCATTCATACAATGTTGTACATTTCTTTGTTAAATTGTAACACAGTCTTTTGAAACAAAATAGTGTTATGTATCCGAAGTTGATTTTTATTTTAATACAATAAATATACAATAGATTACTCGTAAGTATATCTAACTGGAGAATTTAACCTTTGTATAAATGAAGAAATCGTAACATATGAACAAACATTCAGGTTAGCAAGATTTAAAAAAATAACTTGCAATGACTCGTAACTCGATAATCATTTACTATCGCAGTCTTTTTGATCGTAGACTTATATCTTCTTCTTCTACCTGGCAATTTCCCAGCTATAGCCGGGGTATGGGGCCAGGGTCTGCCTTACATGTTGTGAATAGTTTTGGCTATTTTTTTTATACGACCGGCCGCCTGCCTGACATCAAACTTCTTTGGGAATCAGCATTAATCTGTGATGTCTAAATACTCTTAGAAAGTTGGTACTTGCCCGGGCCAGGATCGAACCCGCGCCCTGGTGCATGATAGGCGGTCCTTTTAACCATTAGGCCACCACTGACTTATCGTAGACTGATATAAATATCCTATATATAATTGAAATGTATTTGAATCAAACGTTATAAAATAGTAATAATTAAATACCAATGAGAGATTTAATGTAGAATAATAATCATTACTATTAATAGTCAGTATTAGGTATAGGTCTTATTTAATTATCTGGTATATGAGCTCCGTACAGACCTATTTTAATACTAATCTCTAATAATGTTCCGTAAAACGGGGTGAATAGCAATGATTTTCAACTTTGTCTTAAGAATTTGTTGTCTATTCCTTTTTTTTTAAACCACAGGTTATTTTAATATCATGTCCGGTATCACAAAGAAACAGCTAAAACAATATTTGGTTAACTATAAGCAAATGTTTTTCAGATTTTTAATAAAATATGTATCATTTCTATTCACCCGACGACTGGGGTCAATAGAAATGCATAAAGGGGTGAATGGAAAAACTGTTAGGGCTGCCAAAAATTACTTAACCAACATGCAAAAATGAAAGGTCGTGTATTTAAAAATTATTTTGGTATGTAAATGGTAATTGAAATTCAAAATTTGTGATTTAAACTATTTATGTGTTTTTGTTAACATAAATAATTAGGTATGTTTGTATTTTAAACGACTTTATTTTTACGGAATGTTATCTCTTTTCAATAAATTAAACAATGTATACTTCTTATTCGTATTTTATTTGAATTAAAGAAAATAACAAATTTAAAAACATTTTTCTGGATTAAAAGTCGCTTATACATAAAGTCGCTTATATATAAACAACTATAAATCTTTTGAACTTAACAATTATTATATCAAAGGTATTACAAATAGGTAATCAACGTTATGACTTTGAAGAATCAGTATTATAACATAAAAGTAATAAACACTCTTAAAAAAAAAAACAAATTCTAAATCTTCTGAACTTAGCAATTATCATAAAATATATCACAGGTAGTCGATGTCAGCCTTCATTATGGCTTTGTAAAATGCAGAAAGCACTACTCCGTAAAAATAATCAAAATTCTTTAAAAAAATAAAACTAAATTCTAAATCTTCTGAACTTAACAATAATTATCATAACAAAGTTGTTACAGGTAGATAACTTCAGTCTACGTTACGTTCTCACTAAATGTAAAAATAATAAAAAAAAACAATAAAATTTTAAATCGTTCCAACCATGTTCCAACTTAACAATTTACAAAGTTTTCACAGGTCATCATCATCCTGCCGCGTGCTGGGCGAAAGCGTTACCGCGGCCTCTTTCCACCTTTTGTGGCGAGGAGTAATTCCGCTGGTTTTTTAGTGGGTAAACTGGGTACTTAAACCTAGGAGTCCCAGGTCATCATCATCCTCTTCTAAAACTTTTAATATTTCGTCACTATCATTATAGTAATTATTTGTGTGTTTTTCCTTTGGCAATTTAATGAGATCTTTTACCGTTAGTACAGTCTTGCTCTTCTTTATAATTGGTAATTTGTATTTTTTGTTGTACTGGCCGTCATTCACTAGTTCATTTGATATTATTTTTACTTTATTCTCCTTAATAGTATTATCATCAGCAGTTGTTCCAGTACTGATTGTAACCTCTTCACATAAGCTGTCAAAAAAAAGAATGGGCAGACTGTTTATGTCCATATCATTAGAAACTTTGCACTCTAATCCTTGTAAGTTACTATTGTAGTTTTCCATGTCCGCGATACTGTTGTAATTCTGCTCTCCCATATTATTATCATAATTTTCGTAAGCCGTAACGTTAACGTAATCGTAATCTTTCTGACTTGTATTTCCGCATTTTGATTGTTCTGAGTTGTTATGGTATACTTCTTTCCATTCTTTATTGTTATCATTATTGCCCTTGTCTTCTGTTTTAGATTTTTTAGTAATATCCTCGATAGCTTTTCCTTTAGTCTCATTGTTTTCTATATTTTTTTTGAAGATTACTTCTTCTTTTGTTTCCAAATAGGATGTTTTCGTTTTTTTTCCAATCCGTTTGCCTTTTCCTTTATAAGGTTCTATTTTATTAGGGCAATTTTCTTTTTCTTCAATTGGTAATAGTTTCATGTTTGTAATTATAGATTTTTTAGCTTTTCCTTTATTTTTATTGTTTAAACCTGATGGACCACTGATGCTAGTATCGTATTTTGTTTTTTTAGGATTTGCCATACTGTTATCAACATCAGTTTCTGCATAGTCTTCAATTTCTTCTGGAGCGACACTTTTACCTGGGAGTACATTGAGTTTTCTCTTTCTTTTTGGTTCTACAATGTTCATTGAACCATATCTCATTTCTTTGAGGAGTGTTAGAACAGAATCTTCTACAGCACTTTCATGGTCTTCACCTAAGTCCTCGCCGGGAAGTCTGGCTAATATTTCAGTTGCATTTAAAGGGCTAATTCCTGTTTTCTTAAATCCAGCAATGATATTCTTTGAAGCATTTATTTGCAGTTCATCAATTAATAATTTCAATAATTTTGGAAAGCAACCTTTTGGAATTGTGGGTAATTGTCGACCATCTGTCTTTTTCCATTTTAATAATAATTGCCTCCAGGCTCGCTTCATTGGACGGAAAAATGCCACGTCCAGAGGTTGCGTCAGGTGAGTTGAGTTGGCTGGTAAAAACACAAAATCGATGTTGTGCGCTTTACATGTTTGGATCAAGTCTGCTGATAAATGTGAAGACAAATTGTCTCCAATTAAGCACTTTCTACCTGGTAAATTCTTAAAATAAGGAACCACCATATTTTGTACCCAATCCTCAAAAGTGGTTCCATCAAACCATACAGATGTCGACCTATTATATCGAGTACCCTCTGGGCCGTGTTGGATCCAAGAATCATATAAATGAGTTGCCTTGTATACCACATATGGTGGTAACATTTTACCATCTGCGGTACCAGCCATCATAATAGACACGGAAGCCTTGGTATGGTTCAGAACTCTTTCAGGGTACTTGCATCCCCGTTTGATTAGTATTTTTTTCCGCCCAGGGTCGTCCGTCAAATTTGTTTCGTCGTAATTTAAGATGTTAGAAGCAGGTACACCATTTAAAGACTTCTCAAGTTCTGTAAAATATTCTTTAATCGTATCTGGAGATACCTTAGCTCTCACACGCTTGATATTTTCACAAACTCTTTGGGAAATCTCATTTTTGTGTCTTAATAGGAAGCTCTGTACAAAATCTGGTCCTGGAAAATTGTCTTTAAATCTTTTATGAATTATACCTATCTTATCAAGATACATTTTTACTATGTACCTGAGATCCAAAGTATCTAAGGGATAACCCCATTCTGCGCATTTGTTTATATTTTCTATTAGAAACATATCAGTTTCATCGGATAGAGCTCTTTAGCCTCCATGTTGCTTCATATCCCGCGTACAATGACGATATAACACCGATTTGTGTATACCATATTTTTTTGCAACTTCTTCTAATTTAACATTTCGGGATGATGCATACTCTTCCACAGCTTTTTTTATGATCTCCATGTTATATTTTTTATACCTTTTTTTTGTAGGACCGGTTTTTGTAGTTACTGACGTAATATATGATCATCGTACAAAAAGACAGTTTTTGATTTGTTTTAACACAATATGTATAGATAATCAGTTAGTTTTGTAAAATATGTTCAAATAACTTGAAAAAGTATAATGGTTTTTAATTTTCTTATAATTCCTATAGTAAGTTAGGACAACTATATTTCTTTAAGTTAGAATTTTGTTTCAGTAAAAAATTGTTGATAGTTCGAATTAAGAAAATCTGAGGCTTATCTTGATGACATAAATAGTAAAACTTACCGCCTTTATGAATTAATATTACATGTTCAATCAAGTGAATGAACACAAACCATCCTTAGTAAGAAAAATATTTGTATAAAATTCCTTATTCATCGCGTTTTATGGTAATATTATTCAACGACAGGAAAATATGTCGTTTGGAGAAAGCGAGATCGCTGGGAGAGAAGTACAATTTATGCAAATATTTATTAAGGACAAAGTATGTTTGCAAACATTTTGCATGACATAAAACAATTTGTTTTACATATGCTATATTTTATAATTTATTCCAAGCAATTACTTATCTATTAATTTTAGCTAAAGACTTCTGCATTATTATATTAGAAGTTGTACGAATAAGAATTTCTTTTACCAAAATACATAAAATTGCAAGCTTTAACAGTTTTGACGAAAAATTTCATCTTACATCATTGAAAATCTTGATAGGTATTTGTCAATCTTAAAGGATATTCAAGGTACAGCGTTAATCCAAGAAACTTACCATAGTTAACTTAACATCACCTGTATACTATGTATTACTCCTTTTAATAATCAAGTAGATATATGTAGTTTAAAACTAAAGTAATAGTATAGTTGTACTCTTTAGATCTTTTACGAATACACACACTTGGGTCACAGGCTCTTTTATCTGGATTTACAGATTTGAAACATAGTTTATATTCCATAAATTCTCAGTTTACTCCAGTTTAATTGATATAAAGAATATTTTGATGTGATTTGCACAAATTAACAATTGATTTTATAATTTAAAGGTAAACACGTGATCGAATTACTTCATAATTAAATCATTGAAATAATAACATATATGTTACTGATTCATCAATCGAATCCTTGAAATTCTCAAACCAAAGCATTTTAAAATAACGGGAACGATTTTTAAGTCTTTATTGGTGGCAAACTTGTGATAAGCTTTAAAAGCCGATCTTGTAACGACTTCAATGTTTTTGAAGCCGTACCAAGAAATTGCTTTGGCAGTCTTATAAGAGCGTTTCATAAGAAACTTTTTTTTTGTTTTTACGTAAAGTTGTTTGAGCTGAAAAAATGCTATAGAAACGTGAACTGTTTGAGTTTTGTTTGTGACTGACTTTTAATATATTAAATACTAGTTTTTACCCGCGACTTCGTCCGCGTTAATTTCGTCATTAGTAATATAGGTATAGCAGACCGGACAAACTCTATTCCGTCTTCAATAACCCGGTATTGGTATTTATTAAATTTCTACTGTTTCAATCGAACAGAATGATTGACATATTAGTTAGTTGTCAAGTTTAATGTCAAAAAATCGTTTGTATGGGAAATAGAAAAGGGCTGTTTTTAGGGTTTTCCCGGCAATATTTCCAATTTTTCTCACCTTTTATACCTTCCCTGGACTTCCAGGAGTATTTCAAGACTAAAATTAGCCAAATCGGTTCAGCCGTTCTCAAGTTTTAGCGAGACTAAGGAACAACAATCCATTTTTATATATATAGAAGATGTATATCATTAAATTAATGCATAAATTTCAAGAAGAGACTTAACCATAATGAAAGCATTTTAAAAGACTGGTCCGAAAATATTTTTTATTTAAGACATATTACCTAAGTAATGACGAACAAATAATTCCTAGAGTTAAGTCGAAGGCACTTTTATATTATAATTTTCCCAAAGATTTAGAACCCTCTGCTTCGTATACGAATGTCATGTTCGTGTATCATAATCTTATAAAGATCGTATCCGTTCCAACAATAAGCGACTATTTAAATTGTGTATGAGAGTGATTCACTAGTGGTTAAAAGTACATATTTTCATTTATTAAAATTAGTAAAAAAACTAAAAGATACTCAAATAAACATGAGTTTACGATTATTATCTAAAATATACCTGAATGGCTATCTAATACGCTCCCAAGGTAAAAAATATCAACATGTTTTTTATTACATATTCATATTTGAATCGAATAAATAAATGAAAAGAATAATATAAGTTTAAATTTACCTGAAACCATATCAAATAAACGATTTTGAACTATGTATGTACCTATAAAGTATTATTTCTATGCATCGCTATATACTTGTATATTTAATTGCTAATACAAATGCTGTTTAGAACTAAACATTAGATACTAGTTATAGTTGAAAGGCACTTGTAACGTAACTAGGCCATGTTTTGGAGTAGTGGGGATAAGTTTGAGCATGTACACTGAGTGCAACAAAAGTAGTTACTTTTGATTTGTATCAATAACAAAAACTGGTAGTTGTAAGAAAAATAATGGGTCCAATTTAAATGCTCGCAAGTATACTCCCGTCCTCATAACTGCAACATATAAAAATCTTATGCTAAGTTACATGGCGTTACTGTAATAGAAGTTTGAATGGCTGGGTCGAAGGCAGCGGGCTTATGCTCGCGACCTGCCTCCCCAGTGAGGAAGCCTCCGGGCGTCGGTGGGGAACCGGCGTCCGGGTAACATAGGCTAGAGGAAGAGCGGCGTGTTTGGCGTTCCCGGCACGCTGCTCTTGAGTCGGAGGGGTGGTGTGGTCAGCCACTGATGCCCCTGCCGATGGCGGAGTCCCTTTCGGGACTCGTGCGTAGTGAGCGGAAGTATGGCTTGCCGTTCCCGCTCACTAGCCTACGCACAGCGCAGAGAACGTCGAGGTGGTTTAGTGGGTGGAAATCCCACATGCCCCTGTCGCGTTTCCCCCGCGGCAGGAAGTCTTTAAAAGATTCCCCTCGTAGAAAAAAAAAAAAAAAAAAAAAAAAAAATAGAAGTTTGAATAGAATCTAATTTTTCACTTCATATTATGTAATGTAATAATCGATATATCTCTCATTAGTAAATCTTCTTCTTCTTCTACCTGGCAATTTCCCAGCCATAGCCAGGGTCTGCCTTACATGTTGTGTATAGTTTTGGCTATTTCTTTTACGACCGGCCGCCTGCCTGACATCAACCCTCTTTTGGGAATCAACATTAATTAGTGATGTCTAAATAGTCTTAGAAAGTACATATGACTCGGAAAAATCACATTGGTACTTGCCCGGGGGCCAGGATAGAACCCGCGCCGTCGGTAACGAGAGGCGAGCCCTTTAACCACTAGGCCACCACTGACTCTCATTAGTAAATATTAAAATAAAACCATATTCTTAATCAAGATTCACATATTATATTTTACACTTTCACTATTATAAACATTTATTATAAACATTTTGACTGATGCTATCATTTGTGAAATTAATTCAGTAGTTATTTGGAGAATTAATGAATAATTCATGGATACGTACTAGCTTTTGCAAGGTCGCGGTTGGAGCTATTATGAGGAAGGTTTTCTGATCACTTTAAAAATATTTATCCATTTCTGATTAACACAAATATTATCACATATAGATTTATTACTATTGTATAACTAATACCACAATAATTTGAAACAAAAGTTTATGATTCAGGCGGTTTTTTCATAAATAAGACTACAGTTACTGTTCAAGGTTAATGGTTATTTAAATCAAACCTACTTTTTATTGTCAAATAAATTACTAATTTAAATAATTTATTGTTATACATGAAGTCAGTGGTGGCCTAGTGGTTAAAAGACCCGCCTCTCATGCACAAGGGCGCGGGTTCGATCCTGGCAAGTAACAATGTTATTTGTCCGAGTCATATGTGCTTTCTAAGAGTATTTAGACATCACTGATTAATGCATTCCCAAAGAGGGTTGATGTCAGGCAGGCGGCCGGCCGGTCGTAAAAACAATTAGTCAATACTATTCACAACATGTAAGGCAGACCCTGGCTGAAGCTGGGAAATTGCCAGGAAGAAGAATATACATGAACGCTGATGTGTTTATATATATATGCCTTAATGAGCGAGGATTTGTGGTTTATGAAAATAAATTTGGTTTATAATTGTATGGCTTGTTTGTAAATAAAATAACCAAAATTTTTGAATGAAATATCGTAAATGCTTGAGAGAATAAAGATATTTAATGTCATTGAAGCTAGCAGTTAGAGTTAACAGATTCAGGAAGATTTTTATAAGAATAGTAAAAAACATATTAAATCTTAATTAAAATTGTATTGTATAAGTATGTATATTTATACTCCAAGTAAATTAATTCTAAGTATTTGGGCGAGTATAGAAAAAAATATTAATTGAAACAGTACATTTATTATGAATACAGTCAAGAGGCCAGGGAAGTGATTGTTTCTTTGTAATAATTAAAAATAACTGACAGAATGTTTTGTATATAATATATATCGTACAGAATATACATTGTCAGAATTATTCTTTCAAGAAATCTTTATTATTTTTAATATCTTTCTCATCTATGTTTTTGTTACATAATTTTTTTAAAAATAATAAAAAAATATATAAATTGAAAACAATTATGTCTTATTTTGCTGTAACTTCAAAGCGAAACAAATAAATCGAAAAATTAGGAGGAATGAAGAAAATATTTTATATTTCTTTATACAAA